CGTATTCGGAACGTACATCCTCGGTGGGCGGCGCACGACGGGTGGGAGGGTGGTGGGGAAGCCTTCGCGGTGGTGATACCCCCCAGGCTGGGTATCGAAAGAGGGCTGCGGTGGGTATGTTGGTTGATACGTCGTGTTGGGGTAGGGCGCGTAGCCGCGGTCGAGGGGTTGGCCTCCTAGGAGGGAATGGCGGGCCTCGTGGTGAGTAATTTTGGCTATGGTGGCAGCCGCGATGGGCGGCTGGAGCGTGGGGATATAGAGGCGGGTGGTGAGGCGGGCGTGGTGGTGCGGCGCAGACAAACTGCGACCTGTGTCGTGGTGCGGTTTGTAGGGCTGCCGGGGTACTTGAGACAGAGGACGGGCGCTGGGCGGACTGCTGAAACCAAGGGAGTCGCTGTCGTCGGGGGAGCAGGTGAGCGCGCGTCGCTGAAACTAGTATCTTGGCTATGCGGAGAGGCCGAAGAAGCAACAGGCGATGACGAGCGACGGGTCGGAGATGGGGATACTTGGTGATAAGGAGCGATATCGACGGACAACAAGACGAGCGAGCGGCGGTGGGAGGTGTTGTTTGTTAAGATTTGGGAGTGGGCGGAGATGGGACGGCTGCTGCTAGGTGGACGCAGGTGCTGAGATGTGCGCAAAGTAGCGCCTGGGAGAGCCCCGGCCGGTGTGGAGAAAGGCTGAAGGGGGTCTCGCCGTAAGACCCGCTCGCTGCTCCGTGTTTACTCTGCGTCAACGGTAGCCTGGGTGAGGCTTTGTGGATATCAAAATACGAAGCACGAGAATGCGCACGTCGGGCGGTCTGACTTCTACAAGTACGGACGGACTGTTATGCTGCGGCGCGGCCCAAGCCTTTGGCTGCTCAGCTGCTTGTCGCTTTTGGCATCCTCGCACGCGCACAAAGCTTGGCCCCAGCTGCTGCTGAACCATCGCCCACCTGCACCGCCCGGCGATGCCCGCTGCTCATTGGCCCGCCTGCGCTATCTTTAGATTGCATCTGTGGCGCAGGCCTCGAGCACTACGGTAGCAGTCCAGCGCAGTGGAGCTCAATCTGCCGTCATTTTGCGCGACACCGACAGCTTTCCCGTCACTTGCTTGGGCCAATCACACAGCCATATCTGACATCATTAAGGACGCGTAGTGCACAGGGTCGCCGTTTCGACTGACGCAGTATCGGCCCGCCAAAAGCAGCCCCATCGCGAGTCGCGCCTCTACCACCACCACGACACCCACGCGCCGCAGCCATGACGTCTGGTGAGTCTGGGATTCTAGGGTCCTGGCAACGCGGCACCTACTGATGCTCCTCCAGCAGAGTTAATCCTCCAGAAAGCTGCCGAGGACGGCTCCCTCGATTCGTACGTCCCCACCCTAGAGCCCACGTCCGGCGCATGCAGCATCTAACGCGCCCGTGTGTAGAGCAGAATGGCCAAAGACACTGCAGTACATCTTGGATCGCCTTGATGAGGTAATCCCGAGCTACCCATATCCACACCCATCAACCCTGACCCTCGCAGATCATCACCGACTTCCCCAAGCCACCCGCAGACGCACTCCCCAGGCCGACCACGTCCGCGACCACCGACTTGCCCTCGCGACCCAACACGTCCAATGCCATATCCAGCCAAGACTCGCATGCCACCGACAAAGAGAACGCACCGCCGGCCACGCCTCCGCGACCGCCTGTGCCCGCCTTCTCCGCCTCGACCGAGTCGCAAAGCGTACCAACAGACGTCACCACCTTCTACTCCTCAATACGCTCCACCCTCTCCAAGAACTTCGCGAACCATCCCCCGCATACCGTCCAACGTCTAGCTGAACTCATACTCGAGCCCAAGAAACGCTACCGATACCTGCCACCCTACCTCCGCGCACTCGACCGTGTCGTCTCCGTCTCCTCGCCCCTCACCATCTTCCCTCTGCCACAAGCCGTGCTGCCGACTTCCAGCGGACTGCTCAATGGCACCACATCTACCACTACGCAAACAGCGCAGCTAGGTTCAGACGAGGCACTAGGCGGAGCCCTACTCACTCCCATCCCTTGGCTTCAGAACCGCGGCCAGAACGAGCTTATTTCAGAAAGCACCGAAATGGTCGACGGTCCCAATGGTGCTGGACGCATAGAAACAGTGACGGTGGGAATGCTGAGTGGTCAGCGCGCAGAATCTCCCACCTCGAATGTAGCCCAAATTGCTTCGTCACATCCCGAGGGTGAAACGCTGCCGTCTACAGGGCCCGTCACTCAAGGCGAACTTCTGCGCCAAGAACAAGAGGCCGGCATTGTTTTGAACAACCCCCACAGCATGACCACTAGCCCGACAAGGACTACATTCGGCGAGATGGAAGGCGGAGGTACCATCGTAGACACCGTCGAGGGCGAGGAAGAAGCGCCACATGCCCGAGGTCCAGAGGTCATTGGCATGGAAGATACCGGTCCGCAAAAGCAGGGAAAGCTCAACATTGAAGGAGCTATTGGCAGACCGAGCCTTGATCACAAGAGCCCAGAGCCAAAATTACCAGCTAGCACAGACGCCAAGGACCAAGAGATGAAAGATGGAGGATCTGAGAAACCCAGTGACGCAAAATCGGGAGATGAAAAGTCCAAAGAAGATGCGCCAGCGAAAGAGGAGACGAAAGATGCAAAGGACGTGGAAATGAAGTCGGATGATTAGGCGTCAGACACTTCCCGTGGAGAGGAAGAGACGACTTCGAACACAGTTGTTGACGAAATTTTGAATCTACTGAAGTCCTATATGCCATCCTGACGTTCCGCCTCCTGGGTCTTGTCAGCCGGGCAGATTGGACGTTCTACGGCGTTCAAGCAGGTTTGAATAGGAAGGGAGTGAGAGCTATGCAACGGATGATATCTCGACAGAGTGCACAGGAGTCAAGTTCAGAAGTATGGGGCAAGTGACCGGAGTGCAGTAGAAAGACTTGAATAAGACACTGGCACGAACGCTCTAGCAGTCTGGATGGATACAGATAGTTGCTATCATCGTGCTCTAATTACTAGCATCATTCAGCCATTGGTTACGAAGCACTTGATAGCATCGTCAAATTCCGGCGCAGCCATCACTCAAGACCCACTGCCGTCTCAACGTTTTCTTGTTTTCACCTGCAGCGATCATGTCCACTTATCCTGACAAACCAAAGCATGTCTCACTGAACACGTGGAGAACAACCATCGAGAAACCATAAACAAACTTCAAGTTTGTTTCGCTATCAAAATCCTGCTAGTCTGATTACATCACCACCATCTAATCAACCTTCTTCCACCAGAGGATACCCCTATACCCATTACCTCGCTCACTTCCAATCTTCAGATACTTAACTTCTTCCCCATTCTCCTCCACCTCAACAATAGTATAATTCCTCTTCCCCTTCTGCCCCTCCCAAGTTGGCACATTCGCAACCGTAAGCGGACCATGGAAAATCTGGCCCTCCGTCTCGGTCGCAGGCAACTCCTCATTAACGCTATACGGGCCCGCGTACCCGATACTGTGCTTGCCTACGAGCGCCCAATCAGCGTCTGAGTCGTTGGGCTGGTAGGGGAAAGTGAGGTTGGGTCGGAATTCAGGTTCAGTGGCTGTGATGGTGGCGGACATGAAGCCGGATTCTGTGTAGATGAGCAGGCCGACGGGGGCTTTGCCGTAGGGGAGGTCGGGGATGGGTTCGCCGTTCCGGGAGCTGGATGTGTTTACTAGGGAGTAGGTTCCTGATAGGGCTTTCAGGATGGGGTTGGTGTCTGTGTTGTCCCTGGCTTTGGGAGGGTCGGTGGGTTCTTCCTCTTCAGTTCGGGGCTTGATTTTGGCTGGTACCGCCTTGTCGCAGGGACTGGGAGGATCGGTGGGCTCAGGGTCCGCTGCTCTAGGCATACCGCGGAGTTGAATAGTCTCCGGCGGGTCAGTGTGCTGGCGTGGGGCATTCTGTCTCTTCCCTGGAGCTTGAGGCGCGGGTGTAGGGGGAACCTCGCGTTTAGTTGGTTTGAGGATTGATTCTTGTCTTCGGACAGCTGCTTCTGCGACTGGAGTTGCACGTGCGAATCGGGGTGGTACGAAAGATTCCTGGCGCTGAACCAGCTCGGGCGCGGGTGTGGGAGCCTCGCGTTTGCCTCCAGGAGCATACCATACAGCACTGTCCTGTCTTCGGACAGCTGCGAATGGGGGCGGTGGTACGAAAGACTCCTGGCGCTGAACCAGTTCGGGTGAGGGCGTGGGAACCTCGCGTTTGTAATGATCAGTCCATTGTCGTTTGTAATGATCACTCCATTGCGGGGCCGCAGATGCCAGAGAGGCGAAGAGAATTACAGGAGCAATGGAGACTCGCATCCTGTAGTACAAGATCGGCGATGGTGCTGGTAACAGTTGAGCACTTTACAAGTGGTATCAGACTGGAAACATTTCGCTGCGCATGAAGCAGACAGGGTGCTTTATACCCAGCGACGCAGTGACATGATCGACATTTGAACCACTTCGTTACACACGATCTGGACGACGTGCTTGTCCTTCAGGCGTCACAATTACGCCGAATCGATATCTCTTGTCCGTGCAGGCCAAGCGTAGCGTGAGCGAATGTCAATTTCCGGGATGTGGCCGTCGGCGTTTTGCGGGGGATCCTCGCCCAAGTCGATCCGAGAATCGATCCTTTTGATCCCCAATCTAGAGCGCATAGCTGAGCAGCCCATCTTTAAAAGATGCTAGGTCTTTCGCAAACAGTGTCGAGAATCTTGTGTGAGTTTTGAGATTGAGATGTTGAGTTGACGGTCGGGAATAAGTCACTCTGCCAAGGTATGTACCACAGGTCACATGTCGGGGCTGAGCACGTAAGCATCCATCGTGTAAACCTTGGAAACGACCGTTAGTGCGAAACACCAAGACACTCTATAGGGAACGACTTACAACATGTCAGCACGATGTACGGTTACAGCCTGACAGCGGCATCAAGCCAGGAGACTCGCGTGTCTAGCATCGTTTTGCGGTGCCGAAGTTTCACCACCGCCACGATCAAAACCCGGGAAAGTGAACACCCCAAGATTCGCGATGCAATTCACCAGTCGGCCCCCAAGGCTTGGCGACCACCGCGACGGCTGTGGTGTTGATCTTTGCGCATCGGCGGCAGGAGCGTCCCTCATCTCTGTATCCCCGCCAAGGTCTTCTCCGTCCATCTTTGCAGCCTCGATCTGCAGCTGCTCCATATTCGCGACATGGACGTCGAAGTTCTTGCGATCCACTGGTATCGATGATTTCGCTCCCCTCCGGAACTGCCCATTGTCCCTTCACGTACCGTCGTCTATGCCTGCACATCGAGCTCCTAGCAACGTCTCTCGGAGGCCCGTTGCGGCTCAGCGGGATGACGTAGTGAGGGCGAATAGGGTTCGAGCCGTTCGCGACTGGTGTAGCGGGAATAAGCTCTCGTGTGACCTCGAGTGGAGTTGTGCGAAATGCCTTACGGAGCACATCCACGTCGGCATCTGTACGAACGTAAACATTTTCGTTCCATGAAACGCTTGCGCCTTCTCGTCGGCGCTTTCGCCTAGGCAGTTGCTCTGCGACATCGGTCCTTTGAACCTTGGGGATATCGGATTCGTTGAGAAGCTTATGCTGGATTTTCTTGAGCGATTTCCATTCTAGATCTTGTTCATGACCATCTCGGTCAGGGAAGTCTGGATCACTTGCGATTGTCCAGCGCCGACCAAGGCGTTGACTGAAGGACTCGCAGTCCTCCTCGACACGACCGATGAAGCCGTTGTGTTCAGTGTCTCTGTACCAGTGCAGTGCAGCTGTAGCACTGTACTGCTTCCTGAGTCGGACATGTTGCACGTGAACGTCCTTGTTCTCAGGAGGCTGTTTCGCTTCCCAGGCCAGCTCCATCTCGGAAAGATCTTCTATCTCGTTGATCAAGTTGACTAGGTTTCTTTTGCAATGTCTGTAAGACACATCTGTTCCATTCACATTCTTCCCCTTCTTACCACCCAGACTGGCGACATGGTAAGTCGACTTAGCATAGTGACCCTCGAGGTTCTCTTTCCATTGAGACAAGCCATCATGGGCGTTGATGAACTCTTGGATGTGCTGGAGTGTCTTCATTGAGGCATCCACTATACACATCAGGCACATGGCTTTGGCGTAATTCTCGCTATAGACGGGATGGATTGTGTGTCCACATGCGTTTAGAGGCGGATATTGAGGTGGTTCCGATCGACGGTTTTGCGCGAAAGTTGGTTCATGGTTCGTCGGGCGGCCATTCGGTGGCGCCTTTTCATGGCTGTGCTTAGAATGCGTTTCTGGTGTTGAAGAGGGACTGGAGTCAATCGCTTTCTTTCCCGAAGAACGACCGTCCAACGATGTTCGCTTTTTCTTTTTCGCTTTTGAAGGTTGGTTTCCCCCGTTACCTCCGTACTCGTCTGAATTGGCGCGTTCTTTGCGCTTGCCTATGGACGTATTGGCGTCATGTGTTCTTGAAGATGGCTTTTTCGCAGTGGCCGCCGACTTCGCAGGCCGCGCTGGAAATGGGGATTCGGGAACGCTAAATGAGCCCATTTTGTTGGATGTTATGCTCGTAAGCTTCGTGTACGCAGATGTTGCGATGGTGGGGATGTATTGGAGCAACGAGTTCGAATGCACAGAGGACGTGAGTTGTGGCGCGTTGAAAAGCACTGCAATACCGTTGAGCGCCATTGTAGAGAAAGGACGCTCGGACTGAAATTGTGTGACGTCAAACGCTGTTAACCTTGCGCTGTTGTAGTTGTTGTAGGGGAGTGAAATCGGTGAGTCTTCGGCTTTCACTTCCACTTCTCAAACATCCACCGACGACACTATGGAAAGCACGACTACATGTCTTAGCGCTATTGTACGAGGTAACGCGCGAAAATTGATTTGGCACGAAAATACCACATGTGGATTGTAAGCCTTGGTTTCAACGCATCTCAACCATGGTTCTCAGCAAAATCCGAATGGCCTGTAAGTATGTGGGTACGCCGACTGTTTTTTAGATTTATTTTGATATTAATCTGGGACAATCCTACGTTAAGGGCGGCCAAAGTGGAATATGTATGAGACACTTCGTGAGACATGCATAATGCATTCGATGCAAGTGTCTGTAGGTGTCTACGCACCGGGAAGGTTTCCAGTGTAGGTAGCAAGCGGTACAACGACTGAATGCTTCACGCCGACCCTGAGGCTGATTTGGAAGTACGCGAATGATCTTCGGGTCTGGCAGCTTAAAAAAAACATCCATATTGATACGGGAACCATCAAGTGTCGAACATAAGTCTTTGATCCATTTTCACTATGCTTTCTTCTACAATCAAACTCGACCTTACGCGTCAACGCATTCCCAGCTCTCGATAACATCAGGGTTACCGCCCTTGTACTGGTTGACCTTGGGGAACTTGCAATGGGCGCGCTCAAACTCAACGCCTAGAGCGACGGTGTCGTTGACGAACTTCGTTCCGATAAGTGTCTCGGGTGCGTTGCCGTTTTCTACCCAGTCAACCAAAGCCATGAGTACGTTGTGGCTGGTCTCGTATCCGTTGACCTCGCCCACACCCTGGCCAATGGCGTGCGCACCCTCTCCTCCACCGCAGTGACCAGTTCCACTGACAAGGAAGTAGCGGTAAAACTCGTCAAGCTCTTCAGAGGACAGACCCATAGTAGAAGTGACGTGTTCGTAGTAGCGAGCAGAGTTATCGGATGAGATGACAAAGTCCGCGCCGCCATGCCAGTGTAGCACCTTGGCGCCGCGGTCCTTCATTCCGCTCAAATCACCCTTGAAGGACTCGATCCCAAAGAGGTTCAGTTTTGCGGCGTAGTCGTAGTCCTCGGAGCTGAGAGTTGCTGGATCCCAGCTAGGGTCGTTGTAGATAGCGTAGCGGAACCAATCTGTGGTGTAGGGGAAGGGCTGTCCGTTGATGATAGCGCCAGCCGCAATCACCTCAGCACCAGGCTGCAGACGGGGATAGACTAAGTCTCCTGCATCGTTGAGAAGTGGCGAGTAAACTCCCTTGACTGTCTCTAGCTGCTCGGGCGTAAGGCAGGTAGTGGTGTTGCTGCCCTCAGCGCAAGCTAGGCCCGAAGGGTCATACTGGCAAAGCAAGGGAGCCTCAAGGATGCCATCCTCGAGGTTGTCAAGCTTGTCGCATTGCTTCAAGACATCAGCGTGAATCTGCACCCACTTCGACTGCGGAACGAAAGCGGACGACGAGTTTGCTGGGCCAGTGAGGGTGTAGAAATGTCCACTCCATGAGGTAAGGTTGTTGAACGCGAAGGCTGGTGCGCCCGCAACAATGCCGTCGAAATCGTCTGGGAAATCTTGGGCAGACTTCATGCCCTGTCTGCCTCCGGTGGAGCATCCAAGGTAATAGGACTTGTCGTGCGGTTTGCCGTAGAAGTCTTCGGTGATCTGCTTTCCGACCACGACACCAGTATGTAAACTAATATTGGTCAGCCAGTCTCTAGCATGCCAACACAAGGATACCTACGCTCGGTATGCAAAGTCTTCCACAACATCTGAGTTATTATAAAACGGTAAGCCACTCGTGCCATCATGACCGTTATTGGTCCCAACAGCAGCGAAACCTAGACCAACCGCATAGGCCAAGTCGTCGTAACTGATGCAACCATTCAGACCGCCATTGCCCCCAGAGAGAAATCGTCCCGTCCAGTTGGCTGGGAGGAACGCCTCCATCCTGAAGCCAGAACGCTCAGAAGTCGACACATTGAGCGCGACACGGCACATGTCCGCTGTGATAGCTGGCGGTGCTGCGGCACATGTTTCGTCGTATACGGGTACAGTCAGGTTCGTACCAGCGGCGACAAACTCGGCCGTTGTAACAACACCACCATCGATGTGAAGTTTAGATGCAAGTTCCGCACACTTCGAGCTGAAAGCGGCCGGTGCCGTGCCGTTTGTGGGGTAAGATGCTGACTGTGGGGCGGCGAATACGACGGAAGGCGCATTCAGCAGCGCACATTGGAGTGACTTGTCGAACCTCATCTTGACAGTAAGCCAGATAGATTGAGTAAGAACCTTAATCCAAGATTTTGGGAATGCATCTTCTCTTTATTCTACCGAAAACTGGGTCTTCGTCACGGTACATTACTAGCGTTCGCCTCCGTGCCTGGGGCAGGATAAACGAATAACAGAAGCTGGGGCATATTTGGGGTGCTCCGTTATGCAGCCCTGCAGGGACGTGCCGCGATGACGATCTTTGGCGACACCAAACACCGAATTGTACAAGAAGCATGCGAAGAAGCTGGGGTAAAGGTCTACAACTACCGAGGCAACACTGGGAGGCTCACGTGATCGCACTTCAGATTGAATGTTTCGTTCTGTTGCACAACTGCCGACGGGTATTCATGCTGCGTGTACGCGTAGCTGGTGTACTTGGTGATGCCGATGCATCTGCCGATGAGGGCGCGGAGGCGACACTAAGAAGGTGGTTACTTGCTGTAGAACATTTTAGCAAAACATATAAGAGCCGGCCCGATTTGGCCTCTTGTCATGTCCTGTCAGTGCTGTCGTGCGATCGTTGAAGGTTGGGGCCGGCGCTGCGCGTCATGCGGAACATTGAAGCCGATGGGCGGAGTTCTGCCGCCAGGGGAGGAGCGATCTGCGCGTGCGGGTGGGCCCAACGGTGTATTGATTATAAGTCGGGGTATTGATAACAAATCGGCGTTCCATCCAAATTGCGATGGACGTGAAATCGGTAACTGGGATCGCGGAAATTGAGCGACTTTTGGTCGATGAAGCAGGAATAACATTTACTCGCAGGGCATGTACCCCTTAGCAACTAGTCAGGTACCATACTCCGCATCATATAGCACTAGCAGCATCAAAAAGACCTTTGCAGGCAGTTGCAACTCCTCACAGCTCCCTGGGACCACAAATCGCATTCCTACAATCTCGAGGACGTAGCAGAACCCTTCATCATGTCAGCCGCCCTTCGTGCGCAGAAAGCAAGACTGACACTATCCTTCATGCCACCTCATACCTTCCAAACCTTGCCGGCAAACTCCTCAACATCCTGCCAGAGCTCTTTCGGTTTTTCCAGAGCAGCAAAATGTCCACCGCTTTCGTGCTGCTTATAGAATACCAAGTTTGTTTCTTTCTCCAAGATGCTCTTGATGCCTGGGGCCAGTTCTCGTGGGAAGAACGAGAAACCGAGTGGCTTCTTAGGCGCGCCGATGTCCCTAGCACCCGATCCAAAGAGCGCGCGATAGGGATAGATAGAACGAGCAAAGCTTTCGGTGAACCAGTAAAGTGACACATTGGTGAGCGTCTCGTCGAGGGACGGGTCCTCATCGCTCCATTCAAGAAACTTCTCACCGATCCTGAACGACATTAGTGGAAACATCTCTCTACGTAAAACGATGATATTACCATGCAAGGAGTGCGAGCGGGCTCGATGCCAACACATTCCCAATCGTACTGGGTCTCGAGCCATGCTCCTGAGCGTAGGCCGTTCCGCTAGTTGCCCATTCCTTTGCGTAACCGAGGGATTTCTTCTCTACCTCATTCAAAGGAGTGTTCTCGTCCGGCTTAGGAAGACCACTTATCAGGTTCACTGGTACATCAGAATCAGAGTAATCGATATATGGAGTTGGACTTACAATGCAATGCTACACAGGAGTCGTACAATTGGCTCATCATTTGCGCCGTAAAGCTGCCAACGTCTCCTCCCTGGGCGAGGTACTTGTTGAAGCCCAGATTCAGCATCAGCTGGTTCATGACGCGACTGCTGTCTGCCAGAGTCCATTCCTTGTCTACCGACTGCACGGTACTCAGGGTGTACCCGGGCAGTGAGGGCACGACGATGTGGTATGGTAGGTCCTTGGCTGAATACTTCTCCTTGATCAACGTCAACATAGGCAGAAATTCGAGGAAACTTCCTGGCCACCCGTGCATGAAGATGATGGGGATGGCATCTTTCTTCTCAGAGAAAAGAGCGACAAAATGCATATCGACGTCCTCGATTTGCATCTTGTAGTTCGGGAACGAGTTGATGTGTTTTTCCTGCGCGCGCCAGTCGTACTTGTTCAGCCAGTAGTCCTTTGCATCGGACAGCCACTTGCGGGACACGCCAAAGCGGCGGTCTTCCTGTCGCCCTTCCCAAGTTTCAGGTGCCAGCTTGGAGAGCTGGAGGAGTTGACGCCATTCCGAGATGTCTTGGTCAGAGACATCAAGGGTGAAGGGTTTGGCGGAGTCGGGTGGTGAATAAGACATGTTCGTGATGAAAGAGGTGTTCTCAAGTGTAATGGAGATCAGGCATCCGCGGAGAGCATTCGACCCTTTTATACTCGCCAGACTACACACGAATTATAGTGGGTTTCGCTAGGCAGCCTTCACAATGGAGTGGGGTACATGTACTATCCTGGGCTACGGGCGGAATGAACAAGCTCATCATCCGCTGTGGATCTCTCTGGACCAAGGAGATTCCGTGGAGCCCTTGGAGTGGTTCCGGTGCCTCCGAGCATCTAATACTGATCGTACCTTGGGATTCCATGTTGGTGATTACAGTTCGCTAGTTACCTGCGCTTCAGTCTGGACCTCGGTTCGCACGCTAGGCCAGGGAGACAGTAACGAGAGGAGACGAATCCAGTGTCCAAAGTCAACCAGTAACTTGCAAATACAAAGGGTGAGCAGGGTGTGCGAAGGTATCTCTCGGAACGGAAACAAC